GCTGCCACGACGGGAAGCACAGACCGATCGATATCAAACTGATCATCTCCGGTATAATACTCAATCATTGCCATGCACTTGCCGTTGACCATAAGACCTGATATTCCTTATTCTGATTGCGCTGCACGTTGCGCCACCGAGCCTCAAGCAGAGCTCGTTGCGATGTCGAAGCGACGAGCGAGGATGCGCAGCTTCTCGGCGTCTTCGGGCAGGTCATCGCCGCAGTCGGCATCCACGCACACTGCCGCTGTGATCGGGTTGGTCGTGCCGCAAATGTCGCAATCAATGCACAGGTTGATGGAGAAGCCTTTGGCAACAGCGACCTTGGCGCGCTTGAGCAACAGCGCGAGCTTGGTGGACGTATCCGGAAGCGCTTCGTTGCAGTTGCCGCAGTGCTTGTCCATGGCAGCGTTCCGCGTCGCGCACAGAGGGCACGCTACGCGGCTGCTCATGGAAGCCAGCGACGACATTGTTGTCATCGACTACAAGACATGGGTCATTCGAGGTTACAAGCACGAACGGATGTCCTTACGGAGGTCGAGCTGGTGCTGGTGCTGGCGTCGAGCAAACATGTTGGCATCGGCTCGGGCTCGGGCAGGGCGACGCTTGGCGCCTCCTCGTTCTGCTGAAGCAGGCGGTTAATGATTACTTGGGCACTCGGACGCCGCGCCGGATCCTGCGACAAACAGTCGTCAATGAGGTCTCTAAGCCACGGCGCACAATGTGGCCCCGGAGACGGACGCAACTCGCCGCTGCGAACGCCGTCGATGACAGAGAAGACGTTCATGCCCGTATACGGCACCTGGAGCGAATCAAGCTCCGTCAAAATGACGCCAAATGAGTAAATGTCGGCCGCAAAGTCGTACGTGGCTCCTGACTCGAAGACCTCGGGCGCGGTCCATGCCGGCGTCCCCACAAACGTCGTCATGTCGAGCTGGAACTCCTTCGTGAGGCCAAAGTCGGCCACCTTGATGTAGTTCTTGGAGCTCAAAAGCACATTGAGGCTCTTGAGGTCGCGGTGCACATAACCATTGCGGTGGAGGTCGGCAAGACCATTGGCAATGACCCACGCAATGTCGAGCGTCGAGTAGTCAACCTCCGTTGGTTCACCCTTGCGCTTCTTGTCGAGGTACTGGCGGAGGTTACCGCCGTCCATGTACTCGAGCACAAGCTTTGGGCTGTCACTGTCCTGACCCGAGACAGCCATGAGCTCCAGCAAGTACGGCGAGTTGCACCTAAACCACCGTGGTACGTGAACCGTTCACCGAGTCCAACCGTACGTTTGCATGGCGTGGATCTCGGCATGGAGGTCCTCGGCCCCGGTCGCGTACTTGGCCGACTTGACGGCGACGCGCTCGCTTTTGAAGATGCCTTTGTGCACGTAGCCAAAGCCGCCATCGCCAAGGAGCTCCTTGGCGTCCATATAGATGGCCTTCTCGGGCACCTACGGTTGCTGCAGCGTCAGTGTACGATGAAGCTATCGGTGGCTTGCATCCAGGGCAATGTGGTGGACTGCCGAGTAGATTTGTTGCGGGATCCGGCGGTGGCGCAGCTTGATTGCGAGCACGAGCGGTGTTTCGTTGTCCTACGCGCTGGGTCATGCCCGAAACGACCTAGTGATGACAAACCTTGTTGCGAGGGTTCAGGTCCACGTCGGGCGCTCGCAGCAGCATCTCGAGAACATCGTGTTTGCCGCTGCGCACGGCCAAATGCAGCAGCGTGTCGCCATTCTGTCGGTCTCTGAGAGATCTTGTATCGAATGTTCAAGGAGGCACCTGGTCCTTGATGTTGGGGCTGGCACCGTTGTCCACGAGAAGGCGTGTACGGGCAGCGTCGCCTGCCGCCACCGCATGCAATAGCTCCTTGGCAGGAGCGTCGAGGACCGAGGCGCAGTCGCCACCAACGCCCTACGGTGGGTTAGCCATGGCGATTTCTAGAAACAGAGAGTACGCTCAAGGTGGCGCCGGCATCGAGGAGGAGGCTGACGATGGCCGTGTGGCCGGCCCGCGTCGCCACCGACAAGGCCGTGTCGCCGCTCTAAATCGCACGCATGAGACCATTTCCGGCAGTTGTTGTGCGGGTGCATACCGCGTCGGCAGCATTGACGTTGGGCCAAAGACGAAGCAACGCGCGGACGACCGCCGCGTGACCACCCAAGGACGCGAGAAAGAGCGGTGTCGCGCCTGGCTAAACAGAGGACCAGTGTGTCATTGGGTTACGGCGGAGGTGAGCACGTACAGCTATTTTTTGGCGGCGGTATTTGTAGCGCTGCTGCACGACCTGGTTGACACTGGCGCCCGCGTCGAGAAGATGGCGCACGACGTCGACATGACCCATGCGCGATGCCGCGAGAAGCGGCGTGTCGCCGTCCTGGAGATGGTCACATGTGAGCAGGCAGTGCTCAGTGCGTGTTGCGTACGTTTGTCGCGCGATCGACGGCCGCACCGCCCGTCAAGAGCAACCCGACAACGTCCGCGTGACCGCCGCGCGCAGCAGAATACAGTGGTGTTCGTCCATTCTACAACAAAGGACGTATGTCCGCCTGCACGAGCGACGTTGCACCGTACATTCATGGGCTGGTCGACGCTCGCTTGGGCCTCGAGCAGCATCTTGACAACAGTGTTGAGGCCCTCTTGCGCGGCAGCCAGCAACGGTGTCTCGCCTTCCTACATACATATATTGCTAGAACACAAACCCAACTAGACTCGTACGTTGGCGGCTTGCTCGACGTTGGCACCGGCTTGCAACAGCATCGAGACGACGTGGGCGTGGCCTCGGACCGCCGCAATGTACAACGGCGTGACCCCAGTCTACACGAGCTCGATGCTTTGTATTCTAAAAGTCACGCAGGACGTACGTCCATGGCAAGGTGGACATTGGCGGTGGCAGCGAGGAGCCGTCGCACAATGTCTTCATCGCCGTTTTGGGCCGCAACGAACACGGCCGTCGCGCCATCCTAAACGCGCGTTGGTGCCGGTTCAAGACAGGGGCAACGCTAGCCTACACTTGTGGGCACATCCACGCTGGCTTTTGCGTCGAGCAGGAGCTGGACGACGCTAGCGTGGCCCTCGTACGCTGCAATGTACAACGGCGTCTGATTGTCGTCCTATGCAGCCGCCGTGAGAGGCCGAATGAAGCGAACTTGAGACGTACAAGCCACATGAGATCGACGCTGGCACCCGCAGACAAGAGCGCCGACACGATCGCGTCCTCGCCGCGTTGTGCCGCCGCATACAGGGCGGTCTCTCCGTCCTATTGTCGATGATGTCGATGGAAGACAAGCGCATTTGTGCAGCGTACAGGCATGGCGAGATTGACGTCCGCGCCTCCTGCGAGAAGCAGATCGACGATATCTCCGGCGCCTGCGTGCACTGCCATCAGCAGCGGCGAGGACCCGTCCTATGCACGCAAATGAGCCCGACCACTTTGGTCGTATCGGAAGAGTACGTTCATGGCGTGGTTGACGTTGGCGCCGGCGTCGATTAGCGCCGAAACGATGTCCGCATGGCCGTCCCCGGCGGCCACACAGAGCGCGGACGACCCGTTCTAGTAGCCAAGACTCCAGCACCCGACTTTGCACCGAAAAGGACGTACGCTCGTGGTCCACTCGAGGTCGGCTCCGTTCTTGAGCATGCGCCGCACACTCTTGACGCGTCCGTGAAAGGCTGCTTGCCACAACTCCTACATGAGCCCGCGTTAGCGGCAGCGACGGACGTCGTTGCACCATGGTCGCCAGTCGTCCAGTCGCAGTGTCGACGCCAACAACTTGAAGTTTATATGCTATACGACGCGTGATATGTCAGCGTGATCAGACGACGCGTGTCATCACAGGGAATGACAATACGAAACGGGCCGACAACGTATGACACGTCGTTCTATGTCGTGTACTGCGCTGGATCTTTTAG